CCATTTCATTTGCACTTTAACCAACAGTTTTATAAATCACACCCAAATATAAATATATATTTTTAAAAATTTTGGTTGAAAATGTCCAGATAAAATTAACAAAATATTATGACATTTTAATTATTATATTTATATTAAAACTAGATATTACAAAATATTATGTATTTTTTATTTAATAGGAATAATACTCCAATTAATATGGAATATATTATAATAATTTTATAATAGCAGGTAGATTGGCGGAAACGGGAATCGAACCTTTTTTAAAGTGGTGGAAACGGACAATGGCGGAATCGGTCATTTCACATTTTGGCGGAAGCAGTACATGCCCGGCTGAGGACTGATTACAGATATATTTGTCAAAAGGGCTCTTAACGAATAGTTGGCCGCAGTGGCTCGCACTCACAGGCTGGGTAATAATAAAATAGTATATGTAGACTAACGCTACAACGATTGCTCGAAACAAAAACATTAAGAAATATAATATACGCGTTAAAGTTGTAGTAAATAATCAAATATCAATAAAGAGCGGACGTGTCCAAAATTACAATGTATATATAATAATATAATATAAGAATAATAATTGATAACATTAATAATAATACGCAAACTTTTAATAATATGGTTTACGTTCACAAATGAGACGCAATACGGCTACTACACCGGCGGAATGATCATATATCCGGAGCCGAAACGGATTCATTAGAGGCTGCCGAGAGCCGATGTGGTATCATCCATACCGAGTTGCGGTAGGGATTGGAACAGATAAAAAACAAAATCCGCGTTGCGGTCGGGAAATATCTAATTTTGTTTTAAATATTAAAACTCATATTTAGAGCTGAGACTTCATAAACTAAAAAATCTTTAGATATGCACGCATTCATGCCCTTAAAATTATAACAATATATGCCCTAAAAATATACAAAAATCCTAAAATATTTTATTTTTTCTAAAAAAAAAATCAAAATTTATAAATAAATTTATTATTTAATAAGGCGCTATATTTACAACAAAAAAACTGTACTTACTTTAGAATATTAACTATATTAACGCCAGATAAAAACACATACGGTTCTAACAGATGAATTAACATCAACTGACTGTATTCGGCGTATTCCTTATCGACTAACTGTTTTTTACAAAACAAAAATAATTGGGAAAACACACGATAAATAGATTATTTAATTATTTATACTTAATTATTTCAATCTATTTTTTTCAATTTCTAAAAAATTAATAATAAATAGTGTATAGTAAGTAATAAGAATAGAATATTATTTTCCACATGATATATTATTGATTTAGATACACTTAAAAGGAAAAAATAGCTGAATATGTAAGATATGCAAAATAAAAATGATTGCTTTAAACTTATTGAAACAAATTCCTATGTTACTTAGTTATGTTTTGAAAAATATGCAAACCCCTACAAGTCTCTAGACTTAGTCATATTATACTGCAGTTATATTTAAAGTATAAATTGATATAGTAATACATTTAACGAATAAAAATAATATATCTATTTATAATTATATTGGTTCATATTTGTATGAAACACGTTTCACAAAAAACAGCGAATCAATTTCTTTTTTTTTTAAATATTGTTTGATTTTGTTTTTTAATAAATATCTGGTTAATGCTCTTAACGTTTTTATTAATTTTAAAACCTATCGAATTGATTTTTGAATATGTATCAATTGGAATATTATTTTTGATACACTTTTAAAATTCGAATACCTACATTGCGATGTGGCGATCGATTCTCAGTGACTGGCTAGACTTAGGTAGGAAAAATAGCATCATATGGTCACTATAGTTATTGACCAAATAGTCACTAAAAATCAAGTAATTCTTGAATTCATAGATTATTCAGTGATTCCAAAAATACATTTCCTCTTTTATATGAAGGGTTTTTCTCATGTTGATCGAAAAATGTAGTGCAATCATTTTCTGATTTTAAAGTTTTTATTTTTGTACTCTATAGCTAGTTTTGATTCTACGATTTTTCTCCACAAAGCTTGACTGAGATAAAATTTGCATTTAATCAAATGGTGTTCGTAAATTCTTTACTTGAAGCTTGAAAAATTCTTTTTTGAAAGTCAGAAATATAAATATGGCTTAAATATTAAATTAATTTCCAAAAAATTAATTTTCAGCGTAGACACAAACGTTCAGTATGATAATTTATTATTATCTTTGTAATGCGAACACGATGGATTTTAAATATCTGCGATTATGTAATGACTAAAAAATGTGCTTTTATGTTGTAGCTTTAGACTTAAGAAGGCCATTGGTGTAAAAGTTCGTCTATAAGTACTAACGAAAAATTAAAACGCAGATGTATGTTAAGAAAGTTTTTACAACACTTCACTTAGTTCGCTTCTTGTAACTATTAAAATCCTGAAAATTATGAGGGCACCGAGTAAAAAATATAAAATAACTTTCGTTATACTCTTAAGATAATCTTTTCTAATTCTTTCCCAGGATAATAGTGTTACACATAAACTTAATCGGTATCTTATTTTTTTATAATATGTCATTATAATATTTTTAGGTACATACATAATATTTTTTAATTTTATAATTAGAAATTTTTTTTTCATTTATTTTAGAGTATATTTTATTTATGTAAGAGAGTGCTTTGTATACTAAAATACATGAAATTAAAAAAGATATTTTTTTATGATCACTGACATCAAAAAATTTGAAGTTCTTCAAAAATACCCCGTTTAGGCACACACAAATTTTTCATGGCTACTCCAGGAATAAAAATATCCTCCTTCAATATACTAATACTGCAATGCCTTTTCTTACAATAAAACATATAATGACTAAATACCGTACAGCGTACATACATACAATGTAACTTAGGTTAAGTTAGATTTCAAAATTATCGCAAAGCTTCCAGAATATTTATCAAATTGTTTTGTTGACAAAGAAGCAAAATTAATTGTAGTATAATATAATAGCGATACACTCATTTTATCTTTAATTATTATAAAATATAATTTAAAATTATTTACTTCTATATAATATATTTTATAATTTAGTTAATTTTCATATGAATTCTAATGGTTATTTTTGCTGCAGGCTTATATTTATTAATATATATATATATACTTATATTATATACTTTTCCGTAAAATATTGTTTTAATTACTTTTTTTTTTTAGATGCTCTTTTGATGAATATTATATAATATACTATATAACACGCATCTAAATTATGGTATATTATTATATACTTACATAAATCATTATGATGGAATTTTAATGTTGGCTGTACATCTCATTTATTCATTATTTAATTAATAATCATAAGTCATCAGTAATGACTAACCGGTTACGACTCAATTTAATTAATTCTTTTCTCGTTTTTTATACTAAACTATGCAATAATTTTTATATATATACATTTATAACAATTTTTGAAAGTTATAAGTGTTTTAAACTTGCTGTGTTTAGTTATAAAAAACAATTATGATAATATTATTGATTTGTGCAAATAAGGAATGAATGGATGCTGATTTTATTTTTAATGCTGAAATCGAAATTGTAAATATATTATGTGTACAATTATCATATAGAAATTTTTATTTAAAAAATATTATTTTAACTTATTCAAACCTATTTTTTTTTTTGTTCTTTTATTTTCATTCTATATTGCGAATATTATACGATTAAATGTTTATAAAAACCTTAAAAATTATTAAAACTTGTTAGTGGCAAAGTTGATACTTCTGTTTTGATTTTTGGTATTTAGTTTCTGTTATCCTTTTCCGTATGTGTTCCTCTATCCAAGTATGCAAGCATATATATGTATTTTTTCAATCTCCTTGTCTTTTGTTTGAATGATGAAATTAAATTCGATGAAAATTTGTTATTTCTAAGTAGTAAGTATGTCTATTCTGAAGTTGTCTAATTTTAATCAATTTTTAATATAAATAATAAACCTACATGCATTTTATCCAATCACTGTAAATATTATGCAAATCAAATATAAATTAACAATTAATTATGAAAACGCAAATTTAATATGCTAATCCAGTAATAGTAAATACACATATTCGTGGATATGAGAAAATGGAATTATAGTCAGAAACAATAGGAATATACCTATCATAATTTATACTTAATGCTTAATATTTTTTTTTTGCTAATTGCATTGATGAAAATATTGATGTAAATTAACTAATAAACAAATCTGTATAAATCAAATGTATTTCGAAAGTGTATCACTTTTAAGTATATTAATTTAGAAATTACCACGCATTTTCTAGATTGTAGTAAGGAGCATATTCAATAGTCACTGTAGTGATTATGCAGCTCTTAACGATGAAGAGTACACACAATTTGGTGAATTAAAAACAACATTTTATTTTACATATGTATTTATATATATATAAAATATGGTTACATTGCCGTGCTTGAAAAAAAAAAAAAGGCGGAAGGATAAGTATAAATTATATTAATTAACAATAGTTTGTACGATACAAATCATGTGGGCTCAATACATGAATTGCGTGGCACAAACATATTAGGTAACAAAAATTAATAAATACAAAACAAAAGCTCAATTACATTATACTACAACAATAAATGTTTTACTTAAAATTATTTTAAAGTTTAAACACATAGTTACAATTAATTTTTTCATTTTTTTTCTCTTAGTATACTATATATAGGCTTATAATATATTATTGTAATATCATACATTATATTCGTAAAAATACGTTTGAACAATATTAGATCTTAACACTATAACTATGAATAATTTAAAAGTATTTAACTATAGTAAAGTTATTAACATTTTAATTTACCAAACACATTATGAGGTATGAAGAATAATAGTAATATATATATATATGTATTTATAGTATATACAACAGTATTATTTGGCAGAAATAGGTAAATTTTTATTAGAAATATTTTTCCATTTATACATAACACACAAACATTTAATTGTTTTAAATGCTTAACTTATTAAAAATTAATACAATAATCAATAAGAATAATGAATAATAAATTTAATACTAACATTTAAATTAAATCTATATAATGTTTCTTAGGCAACTATTAGTCTTATATTTTTGGGCTAGGCGTAAAGTAGTTTGTGGCGGAAATTACAATCGTATTGAACCTTCTTTAGTGTCTTGATATCAGTTCTGGAAAAAAAAATCAACTTAAAAAAAGCTTTAGAGAGTATTAAAACTTTTTCTAATTTGGTTATAATTTTGTATTATGTTTATATTTTAAAAGTTTCACGTTCTCGTCTAAAAAACATGATATTGATTGAGATAATGAGGCACTTTGAACTTTATCATTATGTATTTCAACCATATAATATTTTAGTAGATTTCTTGTAAATTATATCAAACAAAATTAAATGTAAATTGTACGAGTTTAATAATAGTCTTTATATATTTAATTAGCGAGTTTTAGAGCAAAGCGGCGTTATGTTTGATTAGTTAGTCAATAAATTAATAATAAATGTATAAATTTATTCATAAATTTGACTATCTATTTATTTTTTTAAAAATTATTTCGATTAGTACTATAAAGACATATGTCTACTAATAATAATTAAAATATATTTTAGATAGAAAAATCGTTCAATTTGTGTATTATAATTTTTTATATCACTAAAAGCGAAACAAGCGAAATTATATTTCGGTTAAATACATAAATTAAATATTAAATAATAATATATTAGAATTTGTTTGGAACTACAATTTTGTTTAATCGAACGTGCATCAATTGAATTATCGTTTCGTCTGTTAAATTGTACTCTTTGTTTATGAAACTTCAAATTTTGTCGTTTTTAATAAAATTTAGAGATGATTTATGAATTCAAAATAAGTTGGACATTTTTTTGAACTATAATTAATCCATTTTTTACTGCAATAAAAACCGGATAATCGCTTGGAAAAATACATACTTAAGACGCTTGGACAAATTTAATTTGACATTATTTATGAATTTTTTTTAACGCGACTTCATTGTTTGTTTTGAAATCTTTCTAATTTTTTTTATTTATAAGGTTGGTCTGAAATGGATTTTCTTTGAATAATAGCCGCTGTTGGAGTAGTTGGATGCTGTTGTAGCGCCGAAGAGAGGGGGAAGTAAGCGTTGTTCGTGGTTGGTTCCATTGCTCATAGCTAATAGCAACGAGAACGTAATTTGTTACAACATTTGTGTTCATATTTTATTATCATTGTGGCGTGGTCCTTTTGTTTAGATCGCGGGTCTAAGCATCCGCGAATAATGCACACCGGATAATATTTTTTACTCAACACAAGCCGAAGGTCTGAGTGTACATGCCTACGCTTGAACGAACGAAGTTTATTTGAATTAAAATACCATGCATACATAATAATATTATATTATTAACATTATAATATTAGACGTTGTTAATTTCTATTGCCGTCCCCGGTACGGGTTTGTAGTATAATGCGAACATACAACCGTTCGTAAATGTTATAATGTAATGATAATAAACAACTCTCAAGGGTCAATATAAATAACTAAATAAGTATTCACCATTTTTTCATAATTTAAAATTTATATATGTGCATAAGTTTTAATTTTTATTTGGTTGGATCGTGCTGGAAATGTATTGTTTTTCATTAATTTAGGTAAATTTTGTTATCTACAACATAACAACCATGTGTGTTACTGCAGATATTTCATGTTAATATATTATAATTTTTTTATTATTTTTAACGTGGCATTAAACAAATTTTTGAAATCGGTAATTACAAATTTATTATTAGTTTACAATGATTATATAAATAATATTTACATTAAAAAAAAAAAAATATTTTTCTTGCTACAATGAAAAACATTGAAACATTATTAGAGCGGGGTTCAAGTATTTTAAATTCAAAAAAATCAAACTAAATTTAGATGTTTGGATTTAATTTGAAAGACAAACCCAGTTTATAAAAAAATGAACTAAATCGAACTCAAAAAAAGTTTGATATTTTATCATAAACCAAACTAAGAAAAAATAAAATTCGAAACGTTAAACATTGTGAACAAAAAACTTTTTGATGTTTATTTTTATATGTTTTTTGCGTATAACCTATTTTATCAATAAAAAATACATCTATATTGTATGTTTGCTTATTATTTTTAATACACTGGAGACCAACTGTTTTTTTTTTTTTTGTGTTGAGAATAAGTCCGTTTCTAAGACATATGTAATGTTACATGTATCTTATACATATGTCTAAAACAATAAGTCCCGTGTTTAGACATCTTTGTCTAAAATTGTAGTAGATAGATATTTAATTATTTTATATATTTTATTGAAATTATCGCAATACCAATAAATTTACAAGATATGTTCCATAATCTTTCCGATTATTTTATTTTCTTGTCCTTTAAACAAACACGGTATTTTCATTATTTTCTTATTTACGTTTATTTATAACAAATACAACAATATAATATCTTGAATAACTTTTGTTTTGACTAAAGTAATTTTCAAAAATAAATGTATATAACTACTATTAATTTTTAGGCCATTATATTTATTTTAAGACTTAATCTTAGGTCTATGCTTGGAGAATCAGCGAAAAAAGAAATAAGTAAATTGAAGTATTCAATAGCGAATTGTTAACTAGAGAAAATAGCACATACATTAAGCTATTTCGGCTTTTTATTATTTATAAAATCGAATTTTTCAACTTGCCGAAAAATATTAAAATAATTTTCGATATTAGTTATTGATAATCATTTATAATGTTGGTCCGATTTGTCGTTAGTCGTTACAGTATACGGCTGTAAATCTATCAACATTCATATTGTTTGTCAAATGTACATTTATTCTTGTAAGTTGTAAAAAAAATAAATAATTAATATTGATATTATATTAGTTAAAATAACAAATTAATATTACAAATATTTTACTGACAAATCTTTAAACAAAAATCTCTTTTTTAACGTCTAAATTATTACAGTTTATATTAATAACTCAAATTACTTAACTACTAAAATGTTACTTATACATTTATAATATAACTCGGTTTAGGCACAGTTTGGTATTAAACAAAATTTTTGAAAGGGGTTGGGTTTGACATATGATTGAAAAGTTAGGTTCAAGATCATATTTTTGGATTCGATCCATATATTATCATTATAATATAATATAGTACCCCTATTCTATTTGTTGTTGTTGTCATCGCATTGATCGAATAACCTATTAATCGATATAACCGAATAAAGATCGTATTTGTATTTTTTTTGTTGCTATGGCTACTGAACGGTAAAAATAAATGTTTTTTGGTAAAATATGTGTCAAGCTAAAAGCATCAGTTTAAAATAAAAATAAATAAATAATTGTCGGGAAATATTGCGAACGAAAATGAAGAGCGAACGTTAAAAGAAATCGTCGGGTGATGAAAATCGATTAAAATGTACGGGACTTACGTTTTTATAACAAAAATGATCGTCCGATCGACAGAATGCGTGGGTATATACCTAATGTATATAATATCATAGTGTACTATTATTTACCGTGCTTGTTCGGCGTAGTCGTCCGAATTGTACAGGTACCTACGGAGATCTCACGACAATCGATATTATGCAAAATACACGGTCGTACGCGGAAAACGGCAGAATGATACGTAAACATAATAAGTATACGGGTCACTGTAATCCGGTAGATTTTGTTATAACTGAACGATTTCGGTCACTTTTGGGCCCCCGAGCTTTGTTTGTTAAAACCATAGGTCTTGCGGGCGACGACATCACTTCGACACGGTATAACGACGACCGTGACGATGGCAAAGTCTGATTCCCCGCCGGGTTTTTCGTATAAATCGATTTCAATTCGCAATTATATCACATAATACACAACATTACATTATTTCTGTACGCGTATACAGTACATGTAGTACACCGGTAGTAATACAGTAGTTGTATATAAAATAATACTTTTCATTCGTAGCAAACCGCCGCCCGGTGAGTGGGGTTGAGTGAGACGTTTATATACCAAACCGAATACTTATAATAGATATATGTTATACACTTATACATTATTCGTATTATAATATAAACGTTATTATATGAACGGTCGGCAAACAAATATCAATTTTCGACCCGTCGGGGGACGTAACGACGCGGTTTCTAGTGATTTTATTGAGATGTGTGCGATTCCAGAATCACGTTTTATAGTCGAAAAAAAAATAAATGTATTTATATATATATATATACTCGTACAAGTATATAGTGACGCCATCGTCGTCGCCAACGCCCTGAGTTTCAGCATCCGGTACACTGCTGCTGTCTGTATTTCCTCTTATTTTGTAATGCGTGTCGCGTTTCCTCTTTAGTTTATCAAACACGATTTTTGTTTTTGTTTTTTTTTTTTTTTTTTATTATATCACGGAAGATTCAATAGTTATTAAAATGGAATAAAAAGCATTTACGTGTATAAGTACACGTATATTGTCAATATGAATTTAAAAACTACAACAGACATTTAAAATGTTATCATTGCAAGTTTGACTATTATGTAGATACACAAGAAAACAATTATGATAAAAATATTACGTATCACGATTATATTTTCCTATAGTCCATAATTTATTACAATATATTATAATATGATGATTTGTTAAAAAGTAAATTTAAGTATTTTGTTGGTTTAAATACTTATATTATTTGTTTAACTTAAAACTTTACTTAAAATAATTATTAAAATATTTAGTGTAGTAAGTATTTTAAGTAATTACATGGAAGTTTTAATTGAAACTAATGACGTTATTATAATTTTTTTATACTTTTTGCTTTAAACTATGTTTCAAATTTAACTGATATATATATTTATATAATATATACAATAGCCATATAGTTAAAAAAAAAAAAAAAAATTATTATTAATGAACGTAACAAAACGTATAAATAAATACTCATTGTTTAATAAATTACTAATTTAATGATTGATGTAGATAAATGAATCACATCTAAAGAAAATTTATTTTTAAAATAAAAACATAAATGTGATAGAATGAGAAATATGCAAGTATTAAACTTATCGTTTGCATGTAAATATAAATAATACATAGTTTTATTTTATCATTTGATTTTAGTTGTAGTAATCATTCAAGTTAAATATCAACATAATATTAGGATAAATGTATGGTAAGGAATTCACTAT